TCGAATTTCCAAGTTTCTTGTAAATTCGATTTTCTAGAATCTAGAAAATCCTCAGGGAATTTATATATGGACTTTTTGAAAATCGCCGAGCATTTTCTATAAATAATTCCCGACATTACAGTGTACACACCTCGATCATCGTCTTAAACGATACTCATCATGACGATGCTACTGTGAAATTGTTCTCTAAGCATTTTCACAATTATCATGTATTTTGTCAAAAAGGGACTAATGCGTTTGGCGGGGTGTTAATAGCAGTTCATCGTTCCATTGCTGTACAACGGGTTTCAAATTTTGATCATTTTTTGAATGTTATTGTTTTGGATATAGGATTATCTTCCGATATGTTTCAATTAGTAACTTGCTACTCTCCACCAAATGAGACCTTTCCAATATTTCTTTTAAATCAAGTTTTGCAACGTAATCCTAAAACTGTCTTTATTGGCGACTTAAATGCAAATCACTCATGTTGGTCTAAATCTATTGATGACCAAAAAGGTCGTGTACTTGCTAATTAGCTTTCTGTTAACTCTTCTGAAATTATTAATAAACATATTCCAACTTCTGCTAGATCAAATGGAACGATAGATCTTATCTTTGCACCTTCTTCCATGTTTTCGTCTTCTTTCTCAGTTCTTCCCTCTATAGGTAGCGATCATTTTCCTGTTTTATGAACATCAAGAATAGAATTGTTAAAGGAAGATAGATTTTATCCGGTGAAGCAAACATATTGGACCCTGTTTGAACTTTTAATTAATTTCTACTTATTTTGCTATAATGCTGTACTCGTAATTTTTTCATACTTAGAAAAATACTGTAGTTCTACTGCTCTTAGACTCTAAACCAGATGAGAGAAATTTATATTATCGATAACATTCTAAAAAAAAACGGCGTTAGAAAACAGACTTTTTCTAAACTTGCTATATGATGCACATAGTATACCTTTTATGACAGAACTTGTAATTTTTGTATATTTTATACTATTTTGATACATATTCCTGCCTGTTTAGCTGTAAACGTAAATTTTCAACGTTCCCGACAAAAAGTCGTACTGAGTACAGCATTATTAAAAAACAAGTACAAACTAATTTATTCTATAAGCAATGAAACAAAAAGATTATGGCAAGAAATTAGCTCTGCTATACTTTAAAAATGAAAGTGTCGGTCTTAGGTTTCTTTTTCTCTGATGTCGCACTGCTTCATTCTACTTTATTTATCATATATATACATAAGAATAGACCAGACATATCTGTCCTTCTGTCCGGAACGCTCCCAAGACACTAAACAGCGCCAATGTATTGGGTAAAACCCAAAACACAAACGACTCTAAAACTTGATTGACCAGAGGGTAACTAAGGGTGGGGAATCCGAATCCGATATCAGAAATGAGTTATGAGTTATTAATTATTATTAGTTAACAAATCAGTTATTGAAAAATTGAAAAATGAATTTCCGGATTAGACCTGTGCGCCGGTCGGAAAATCGGCGACGGTGTGTAACAGCAGTTTTTCGACCAGCGGCGGCGGCGCCGGCGGGGGTGGCGGCGGCCGAAAGATTATTTAAAGATTTTCATCGTCAGCGGAGGGGTCAACCACAACCAAATTTGAGTACAAAAAGCTTTAGTTTAAATAAAATTACTGATCAATAATGAATATCTCTTGGTAGTTAAAATCTCTATAAAGCGTTGTTGTGTATGAGACCATTGAAATTATGGCTAATAAATATTCTTATCTTATATCGGTAATGCCTATGGAGATATAGATGATAGAGACATACTGACCAGTGATTCCGCCTGTTTCTCATGATTTTTTCACGCAAAACTTTTTCTATCGGCGAAGGCTAAAGCAAGCTTTTACGGCGAGAACCTCCACAAAACTTGGACGCCTTCGGCGGCGGCGCCGAAGTGATCTACAAAATTTTGACACCTGCGGCGGCGGCGGCAGCGGCGCGGTGCACAGGTTTATTCCGGATAAGGGTTGACTAAAGGGGATCGAGGGTGCTGAGCTCGAATCCGATGTTAGAAATGAGGTATTAATTATTATTAGTTAATAAATCAGTTATCGAAAAATGAATGAAAAAATGAATGAAACGATGAGCGTCTGTGGTTTTCCACGGGTTATTTCTAGTTGCATATAATGACATGACTAAGAAAAGGTACTATCATAGAGAGGTTATTTTTATTAAGACATCATTTATTCCAATTCTAAGAGGAGTTCTTCATCTAAGAGAGAGATCTTAGAGTGTAAGAGCAGTAGAACTACAGTGTTCTCTCTATGAATTTAGTCCTTATTCTGCCAACATCGTGAATTAAAATAATTTTAATTCACGAAGTTCCTACGGTATGATAGGTTCATAGTGGGCACTCTGTATTACGTATCTTATGAGTACCTACTTCGTCTACGTTCTTTAACATTGACCACGCTGTGATTTCCAGCAGAATACTTACAGACTTCAACATTGAGTATCTTGTAGTCCATTTCGATCCAATGAGGCACTAAATTATTTTGTACACGGTGAAGTTTAAAGTCTGATCCGCACGTTCTCCGATCTTCTTCGGAAATCTAGAGGTTCCCGATTGAACCTCCAAGGGAAATAGTGCAGAAAAACTTTAAAAAACAGCATTTTTGCTCAAAACTAATTTCAGAAGAAAATATTCTAACGTTAGTGGGAGGATTTTCTATAAATTTTACTGATGTATTGATATTTTCTACCAAAGACGATGTTTAAAAATGCTAACTTCAGAACTAAACGGGTGGTTGTTCTTTCAGTCCTTTTCATCAGTTCTTCTTGAAACAACTGGTGTAACATATCACGTTCTAAGAACGGTACTGAAACTGTCACCGGTCTAATGTCAGTTTTGATCTCCTTTATTTTTGTTCAGAGATTCTGTCGGTAAAATAACTCTCTTCCGTCTCATCAGTATGTCTCTATATTTCTCGGATTCACTTATCTGAGCTGAAGATCACTTAAGAACGTTCTACAAAATTTTAGTTCATTCATATATGTTAATCTGAATGGAGCTACTTTTTGTTGTACGAAAACCTCACAAACCTTAATGAGAACTGTTGTTTACAGATCGCTACATCTTTTTTTCAGAAATACAGAGGTTACACAACTATCGTAGTTAGGATACGAATAAATGTCAGCAAGCAACACTCTTTTCGTGCGTATACTGGTAACAATCAAAATAAACAGTGTATACGTTATGCGAATGTAGAAGGAAGCTGCATTTCTCTTTGTGTTTCCAACTGAGTATTACTCGCTCGGAATCGTCTTTTTCATCCACCGATGTTCAGGTAATGGTCGAATAGGACTGTCCAACATAAAATGAATCTTTAATTCATCATTATAAAACTTTTTTGCATCACCCTTCATGCATGGTTTACCACACTCTCCATCACCCGCCATTAAATCACCAATGAAAATGCGAGCAGCTTTTGATATCAGCGGTACACCTTCTGGCTGTAATCTCACAAGTTCAAAATCAATAAATTTGACCTGATTTGTTGATTGATTATAAAAGTAATTCTGAGTATTTGCATCTAAGAAAACAGAGGTAAGATGTAAATCATTTTATAGAAAGAGAAGGGATGCATCTATTGAAATTCGTCCAGCATAGAACAGAAGGCAGGATGACGCTGATAAGGACATCAAGATTCCGTCAATGGAAGATGATTTGAACTTAAAACTAGCATTAATCATTTTCTCAAAGGCTGTTAAAAGCGTCTTTTTGCCCCACTGAGTTGCTTTCTTTTCTTGTTTAAAGCTGGACTTTTATGCTGCTCTTCTACATTCAGGTAATGGACGTGATGGAAAGCGCGTTTTTACCCGAGTTATAAAAACATTAGAACAATTGAAATCACCATATCAGAAAATTAAATTGATTCGTGAATATATCGACGATAATGCTTTCGATCGTAAGAATAAACCCTACACATATTCAGTTAAATATGAGGATAAAGAACTTGTTGCCAAAGTTGTTGATATGACAATTGTATTTAAAGCATGTATTCCAGCAGCAGACATGATCAGATTGCACTCACCTTATTGAGAAGATTTTGATAACATACACTTTTATGCACGAACTACTTGAGAATAAAACCTTTTGTCCGCCTGGACCAGAATGCAACCGAAACAACTTAAGCATCTGATCAAGCCCCATCTGAGCCGATTTTTATCTATGAAATTAGAAAACCTTATCTTATGTTCAAAGATCCTGTGGACAGTTCCTGAGAAACTTTTCGGAAGTAACTAGTTCTAGTTTTTTCCATCGTGGACAGTGTTCTATATATAGATACCCATACTATACTCTGCTTGTACGAATTCTCTCAAATTTGCTCAACAACTATTCAAAGAGTTTCAGCAAATCGGCGCTCAAAAACAGATGTCAAAGAATATGAACTTCTTTTTGTTCTTTGTATAAAGTTTGCGTTAGTAATTTTGACAGTATCTAGGCAATCTCTTATTTAATTTCAGAAAACCTATCGTAGTAAGATGGACTTGGATCTTGTCAACGCTCAATAAGCCAATCGTAAAAAATCTGACCTGTTTAAACAACTAGCTTATTCAGGAATCATAATTTCGACTATGTAAGCAATAGTTGCCGTTAATACACCGTTTCCATTGCATGGCAATAATTTGAATGAGTCTGTTATTGTTGAGTGCAGTGAATTAATCCACTGATCACATTCAGCTTGGAAATCATGTTGTATTAAATGTGAGCGAAACATAATGATCAACGTCTATGAGTGGTACTATTCAGTTCGTGTATATGATGTTTACTTGTTAAGTGTAGGAACAGCCTACGTAAGCCGATAGGTCGCTGTAGACTAATTACCGGTACAGTCGTCATCCTGATGATCTGAAACTTTTCTGCATTTAACACGATTACCATCTTTTTCCATAAAATTTCGATGATAGCGATCCTACTATTACTGCTTTTTCATTGGCGCTCATTAAAGTAATACTGATTTTATCTTGTACTGAATATCCCATAGCAAACGGATCATTTTTCACCGGGATTGTTCGGGATGAAACGGTTTAGATATTCTGATTCGACTCTTCATGTAGGATTCAAATCCGGTATCCGCTTTTTGGTACAAAGTCTACTTTTCGAGAAACAAACCAAAAACTGATTTTACGTGGAAAATATTGCTTTTTCCTCTGTGCATTTAATATTGCTTTTCTCTGTGCATTTTCTTTTCGTTCTACTAAGCGGCTTGTCCAAGCGTGACGCTGTGACAATTTTGACACAGTAATTTGAGCTTTCCTCAAAAAGTGTATAAGCTAGAACCGTCGTCCTTGCGCCGTTCGACGCAGCTCGCCATACTCTACTTTTGG